TGATAGGTTATAGAGTTCAAGTTTCTTAAACACACTATTTGCGAATTATTAGGTAATATGGTAAAATGGCGATTTCAAAATTGAATATAGATTTTTTTTAACTATATAGTTAAAGTTTTTTTTTTTTTTTCCACATATCGTTGTTTAACTAACAAACTAAGAATCTCAGCATTTTGCTGTTTACGCCTTCAAATAAAAACTTTTTAAAACGTTTAAATTAAATTTTTGTAAACGTCTATAGCAAATTCTGATTTTTTGGCGAATTTTTGAAAATCGTTTAATTTTTCAATCTATTTGATGTCTGAGATTTTAAAATTTTACAGTTACAAAATTTTGAACTTTCCATAAACTCTTCGCCCTCTCTTCTCTTCAAACAAGAATGATAAGAAAAGTATTAAAAATTTATTACTTTTAAAAATATGCTACCATATGAAGTAGAAAAAGAGAGTAATCAGTTATTCATTTTCCAGCACTCGGACATATGACTAAGATGTCATTATGTCTCTCGTTTAAGACTAAGATGTCATTATGTCTCTCGTTTATCTTATTTACTACAGACTTCTCACTCCACTATTGCGGGGGGAAAATTAGCTTACTAAGAAGTCTTTTGCCATTTTCTAAATGTAATTGCCCTTCATTTTTCTAATCTAAAAAAATGTATTGATTAACTTTTAAGACTATTTGCACTGAAATCTACCGAGCCATTTAATTTTTTTTCTGTTTCATAAATTTTTACACATTTTTCTCAGCATTATATTTTAAAAACTGATTTTCTCAATTTAATTGTGGACTTAATAATAAACAATTTAAAATATGATAAATAAATAAATGATATAAAAGAATAATTAATATAAAATAATAATTAAATATAAAATAATAATTAAATATGATATTTATGGAATTTATGGAAAATTTATGGAATTTTAACACTCTAACATTCAAAAATGTATGCAATAAAGCTTTAAAATCTTCAAAAATTGTAAAATAAATTCTTTACTTTCTTACAGCAAAAGATATTTAAAAACAGTGTTAAATAAGAGGAGTAAGACTTTTCTAGCTTCAAAAAATCGATTTTTAAATTTTATTTTAAAACATAGAGTAAATTTTTGATTAAATAATATATAACATGCTTAGGTTTGAAGTGTTACACTCTTGTAAATTAAGATAAAAGATGTAAATTAGGATAGATACGCCCCTTCTTTAAAGAGACAATTTTTAAGAAGTGCCTTTTAAATAGCTTTTAACTGAGACTTATCAGTATTTTTTTTTTATGTTTATCTCTGTTTAGGTCAATAATATCATGCATAAGCATTGCTAATTAGAATTATGTCGTTTATCAGCAAAAAAAAAATTTACAGAAATCCGAATTTTAAGAATCATTAACTTATCCATAGATTGTCCATGGAGCATATCAATGGATGGATCAAAGCTTCTAAAAATAGGTTTTTTGGCGTAAAGTCGTTGAAAATTGGAGAGGAGGGTATAATTATGTTTCGAAGAACTTATATTTTAGAAATGAAGTGATGAAAATGTCAAAGATTAATATAGATGTGAAGTAATATGTACAAGGGAATTCAAAAGTTTAATAAGATCTATTCTTTAAAGTTGAAACAATGACCTATAAAATCACTCTAGAAACGAGAGTTTTCAAATGATAAAATAAAAGGAAAGGTGAAGCTGCACAGCCGTTATTACAACATGATTACGGTTAAAAATTTTTTAATTAGGAGAAAATGTAGTGATAGAACTATTTTCTTTCTCTTTCTCTCTCTCTCTCTCTCTTTTTTTAGAATCCCCCCCCCTTTTATTTTTCGTTTTTCTCAAAAGAAGTTAATTCAATACGTGAATGTATTTTTCTAAATTTCTAGGCATAAAATAAACCTTAAATTTTCCTAAATATATGGTGTGAACCTATTTATAAATTCATCTGAAAAAGAAATAAATTATTGAGCCCTGATTTTGCTTAAAAATATGCTACATATTTTAAGAATTCAAATTTTCTTGAAATAATTTTTTTTCCAAATTTTTTAACTTTACATGTTAGAATGAAAGTAGGTTAACTTAAACTTCTGGACAAATACCTACAAATATTTTTGTTATAAATACTATATATAAACATTTCTATAAATATCAATGCAAATTTGAAGGGATTCTATGCATAAGAAAAAATTGTATGCTTACCTAAGAGGAATCATTTATCAGAAATCTGTCATTTCAAGCATCTGCGAAGATTGTTTCTCAGAAATACAATATTAAAAACTGAAATTAAAATTTTACTTTAACATGATAATAATAATAATGTGTAGTTTTTATAATAAAATTTTTTAATCTGCTATGTGTATTACTACGATAGTAAGGTTATCAATAAGGGAAATTTTCATATTTTTAGCTATTGAAAAAATCTTGCTTCTGTTAAGCAACTTTCCAGATTTTTTTTAGAATTAGCCGTGCTTCTCTAAGGACTCACTCGTGGGTTTGTCGCTAGGGTTAAATATTTTGTATCCATTTTAAACTATTCCCAGATGAGCTATCGAATTCAGATTCTTCCCAAACACTCTCTCTGTGGTTAAAAATACGAATAAAATTTACTGAAGCGAAGTTTTCTAAATTGCATTTGGAATTTTTTAATTTAATGCTGAAACGATTTTTCGCCCATATCTTTGTTTAACGATCAAACTTAAATTCTCAAATTTTACTTTAGTGCCATCGGATAGAGCAGGAAAAATGTTTTCAATGAAGTTTTTGAAGTTTTTAACCCAATTTCTTATTTTTTCCCCCCTGCAAAATCGTTGGATGGTTTCTATCATTTCACGTAGCATACTTGTTGGAAGTAACGGAGAAGATTATTTATTGTTGAAAAAAGCTTTTCCAATTCAATAATTTGATTGATTAAGTGCCATTCAGATTAAAGAAACTCATAAAATGTTTAATGAACTAAAAGAACACATAAAGAAGAAAATAAAAATAATTTCTCAAATAATTTAATGGAAAAAAAAGATTAAATAAAATCTGTTTACAAAATTCATTAACAAATTTATATCACGAAAAACAAAGCATAGGCGCCTAAATAAGTAAATCTATCAATCGAAATGTGTTATAAAAGGTATAACAATTGTCTTTATAAATTTATCAAGAAGGCCTCAGGCTTTTAGTATTCGCGATACAAATTTGTAGATGAATTTTGTAAAGAGAATTATTTAATCTTTTGTTTCCGTTAAATTATATGATAAATTATTTTTCCTCTTTTAGTTCATTAATGATTATGTGAGTTTTAATAAAAACTTATTTTATTAAAATCCTTTTTCTCTGCCTTTTCAATGCTTAAAATTTAATTTTGATTTTTGCTTTCCCTGTATGAAAGTAATAGAATTCAAAAATCGTTTTCTCATCCTTTGTTTTTCCACACGACGCCAAGAAATCTAAATTTAAAAAAAGCAAGCAAAAATAATTTGTTAGTACGTGTTAGAGTAAAGTTTGAGTTTCTAATTGCATTTTTAACCTATAGTAAATTAAGTCCGCGGTTGCAGCACATCGGGCTAAACGTTTTCCAGTCATTGGCTAGACATGCTCGATGGGCGATAGATGGAAGGGGAAGCAGGCCAGGGTAACAATGCAACATGGTGGGCTAAGAAGAAAGCTTGAAGATTCTGCGCAACGTGTAATCGCGTACTGTGTTGAAACTGATCTTGTAATAATACTTTATGTTTTCAACCTTTATCTTTATAACTTTTAATAATTTTTCTATACACGATCTTTTTTAAGCAAAGTATAGCGAAAGGATTATACAAAATATCAAACTAAAACGATAATTATTCATAACAATTAATATCTAATAAATCAATAATTATTCATAACAATTAATATCTACTAAATTAAATAAAGCTACGTACAGTTTTAATAATTATTAAACACACATAAAATATTGCATCTTTAACCTTAATAATGTTTTATATTAAATTTGTAATATCTATATTAAATTTGTAATAATTTTTCAATACGCGATCTTTTTTAAGCCAAGTATAGCGAACGATTATACAAAATATCAAACTAAACGATAATTATTCATAACAATTAATATCTAATAAATCAATAATTATTCATAACAATTAAATATCTACTAAATAAATAAAGCTACGTACAGTTTTAATAATTATTAAATACCATAAAATATGCATCTTTAACCTTAATAAAGTTTTATATTAAATTTATAATGTCTATAACATATATGCAAAAACTTACTGACTTTAATTAATTATCAGTTAATGCGACAATTGAGAATTGCAAATTTTGAGTAGCATGAATGTGTATACCTTTTGAAACAATGCTATTTTAAGTTATTAAGAAATTATTTTTTTCCGTAATATTGAAAGAGTCAACAAATGAATTAATTCGATCCGGTTTTACTCGATATGATTAAATTTTAATTTTTCTGAAAATTCTAACTGAATATCATATGTACACATAACACTTTATTAGCCAATATCGCAAAAATTTTATTATTTGTTATAAGTACATTTTAAAAGATTACTTAAATTTTAGATAATCTTCTAATAATTTTCAGCAAATATTGTTTTAATTATACTCCGCAAATGTTTATTCTTTTATTTCTTCAAATGAATTTATGATCTGAGAGCTTTTTATTAGTTATATGGTTGTTGGGACTTAAAGAAATTCAGAGACTTATGAATAATATTATTCATATATAATATAACATAATAATTTATAATACAGAAGATTAGCTGAATACACTAAAATAATGGTAAAAAGGTATTTGTCGAACACCCACACAATCATCTGTTATCAGTAATTTTTTTCACGCTCACTTATGCTGTAAAAGCTATACTTTCATTACAGTGCTAAAGCAAATCAAGAACACAACACATTTATCATTTATGTCTGCGTACATATTTAAAAAAACCATTTTGATAGCATTCATAACGAACATTAAAATTAAAATTATTTATGAAGTGCCTGTTATGAGTCAATAATAGTTTTCTTACCTCCTTATAATAGTCTTTTACATCCTCTATTTTCTCATAATTATGATCTCGTGGATTCATAATATAGAACAGGTAACCCGCTCTCCTTATGGTTTTGATTACAGTATCCATAACAGCCCCTGTCAGGTAAGTAGCTCGACTAGTTTGGCTATTAACCCTTGTTTGAATTGCGTTTGATCTCAAGAATGATTTCTCTCCTCTTTTGAATCAAAGGGGCGAGGTGTATTCATGTATTCATTCTTAGCGCATGCGCTTTCGTCACTATGCTTTTCGTTACATGGAAGTTCCTTTTACTTTGCTTCCTAGCTATTCTTTTCCTTTTTCTTTAGATGTTTTAATTTTCTGTTTTGATTCCCCTTCTTAGTATACGCATTTGAATACATAGTTCAATACGTTCTGTGCAAATATTTTCTTTTTTTCCCAAAATTTTTCTTTGTATTTGCAAAGGTAATTGGAAAATTTTTATGCCTCTTAAAATGATAAGCAAAATTTCATACACATGGAGAAATAAGACATCAGTAATTTTCATTAAAAAATGATTTTTTATTCTTAATTTTACTTCACATGTTCAATATAAATTGAAAGACAAAGGAATAGTATAATTAGTATCGGAGCTTAACAGCATAAAAACGAAAACATTTAATTTTTTTTTTTTTTTTTTTTTTGTCTTAAATTTATGTTAAGCGCATTACTATGTTTTTCTATTTTAAATATATTCGAAGCTAGAAAACTCACCAAAACACATGACTTTTTTCTCATACTCCAACTTAAATATGGGAGAAAGGTCATCGCTAACTCTTGTCATCCTTAACTTCTTTATTTTATTTTAAATAAATCTGTTACATACCAAAATCTTTTTTCTCACAGAGTGTGTTTACACATTTTTAAAACGATATCCATAAAGAATGTTTCATAAAAGCTAATGTTTTGGAATAAAAATATTTGAAAACAGCTTGTAATATTCTAGCTAATCCTAGCTACGACTAAGTGCTTGAGAACTAAAATATTAAAGAAATGTGTAGCGACTATTGGCTGAGTTCTTGTAAGTAAGCAGTCTGAAGAAGGAATAAATTTACCCTTTATTCCAATTCAAAATAAATTAACAGATGGCCCCCTTCTCGGGCTTACAATAAGCATGCTCTTGGGCTTTTACTCAAGATAGGAAATAAGTAACTACTCTAATGCTAATTAAAATAAACCAGCCGAAGCTGCACAGAATTAATTAACAGATTTGTCTCTTATTTAAATCACCGACGTACACTATCAGGTGCATACGGACGAATAAGATGAAGCTTAGATTAGCAGCAACAACGTGATCGAAAGGCAGAACATGCTCTCGTATGCTCTTCCACTGAAGTGACCTTGACTTCAGTTTAAATACTGATTTCTACCTCATTTACATGAAACATAATCCTGAAAATCATTCGGGCAGGGAGACGTAGGCGGAAAAGGAGAAGGTAAAGGAAAGACTTGTTCCAAAATTAAAATAAGTAATGGAAAGTTAAACACTGCAAACTTATTATTTGAAATGAGAAATGTCGTCTGCTATAAAATTTTTTCTTCTTTCAAAATGACTCATGTAAACAAGCTGAGGATTGAAATGTATGTTTTCACACTTTTTGAAGAGATGTATTTCTCTTCCATAATTCAATAACGTTGCGCAATGCATAAAACTTCTAAGTGAAAAATAAGCAACATTATTACTTGGAAAGGAGGGGAAAGGCAATCATTACTTCTATATGAAAAGAAGTCTCCAAAAGAATATAAGAAAAAAGTACGTACTATATCTAATGTTTCTAAAGTTATTGGTAAAACAGAAAACCCACTGACACAGAAATCATTTGTAAAGTCGTTAAATAAATAAGCAGCAACAGTAAATAAAATAATGAATTTACAATTTAGAAAAAGCCAAAAAACAATTTCACCGGCTTCTTCCGAGGCATGTGACTCGACGCAGAACAGTTTGTAGAACGTTGTATATAAAATATTCAGCAGGAGATAAATGGAAATACATTATGCTCTTTGCTGAAGCATTGGTTTACCTGAATGACTGTAACAAAAAAGGCTTAATAATGATCGAAAACAAAGAGAAAAAATCTGATGTGTACATCACATGACTTCCTTGCACGGAATATTAAATTATGCGCATTTTTCTTGAATTTCATTTAAATGTATTGGATTGAATTAAATCTTTTTCGTAGATAGCCCATAAACCACAATAGAATAAATGCGCTCTTTAAAATTCACTATATTTGTTTACCACAGCGTCACTCTGGCGCTAGCTTCACTTAATAGCGTTACATTTCGTTCATATTATAAATCACAATGCATATAAATTTATATCATTTGAAGAATTATCTAATCGTTGTCACATATTCTATTCAAATACTAAATCTAAAACGACGTATAAAAGAAATTAAGCAAACAAAACAAAAAAGAAACAGTTTTTTATAGACGATTCAGTATTTCTTATTCAATTAATTCAGTTCTCACTTCCTGGCAAGGCAGAGATACATAAAAACTCAAAATATCTATATTAAAAACTACGAAGTAAATCTTAAACACTTACTTCCTCGAATAAATTCTAGAATGGATTAAACATGATTTAATTCGCAATAATAAAAAAAGGCGTTATCTTTCTTGTTGCGAAGCTTAGTTTCTCTAGATTGCGGTAACAAATTCGCTATTTTGTCAAGTTTGAAATGTAAACAAACATGTCCGCCATCGCAAAATTCATTAGGCTTAGCTGCACTTAAACAACTTTTAAATTGTTGATAACTCCACAAATATTGTATGCAGCATAAAATCCTTAACCGGAAGATAGCAACAAAATAATTCAATCATTTTTCAAGCAAAAAATGCGCAACTTACAATCATATAAAGAAACTGATATCACTGAGCCGGTTAACAGAGCGAATATATATATATACTTTTTGGTGAGGCTGATTGCAACCAAAATACGAGGTGCACATCTACATGTTATAGCAGTCCTACATATATGTTATAGCAGTCCTACAAAATACTCTATCGTGGCTGGGGACTTCAATGCAACCAGTCTACTATGGGGAGCTGACAGAGAGGATAATAGAGCACGAGCTGTCATAGAATTTGCCACAGTGCACAGGCTTACAGTTGTAAACACACTGGATTCCCCTCCTACCTTTAGAACATCTAGAGCAGTAGGTTGGCCAGATGTAACTTTAGCATCCTCCCCAATTGTACAGTATATGAACAACTGGGTTGTTTCTGACCTCCCTTCTTTTAATGACCATCAGATAATCCAGTATGAACTGGTAAATTCAGTGTCTTTCGAAACAAAACAAAGATTTAAGACTTGCTTTGGGGGACACAAGAAATTTCTAGAAAAGCTCAGGCCGTATGTCGTAATTAACCAAGAAAATTTAAATAATTGTACCACACCAGTCCAACTAGATGAGGCGTATGATACTCTAGTAAGAATATCACTCAGGCAGCAAGTGCTTCCTACAAAAGGAAAGCCATTCAAGTTGACAAAACCATTGTCCTGGTGGAATCCCTAGTCTCACAGCTCATAGAAGCAAAGTACGGGCCTTGAGGAGGCTGGCACAGGCAGAACAAGAAGAAGAAGTAAGATCCGTAAAAATGTTAAAGTACAGGAAAGAACGTGCTCTCTCTACAAAAAGCGCATACAGAAAGCGAAAACTGAATCTTGGAAAAAACATTGTTCCAATCTAAAAGAGACTTATGGCCCAGTGCAAAAAATCGCAACAGATAGAGTCTTTCGCCCAACTCAGCTGGTCGCAAAACTGGCACCAAGTGCCTCTAGCATATCAGATGTCCTCCTGTCAGTGCTCACCACTATCTTTCCCAAGGATGATGTAAGGGATGACTTTGATGAGCATGGGCAAACAAGATATAACTTTCGAAACTTTCTTTGGACCAGCAAAAGAGCATGACCATCAGCTCCCTTCCATTCAGGAAATTACTAGAATAGTCAAAGGCCTCGTAAACAAGAAAGCTCCGGGACCGGATGGCATCGATAATATTATGATCAAATATATTCATCATGAGTTCCCTCAACTTTTTCTTTCGTTATGTAGGGCTTGTTGGAAAATAGGACACTTTCCTAGGGCCATGAAGTGGGCAGAAGTAGCATTGTTCCACAAGCAAGGTAAAGATCCATCGGATCCGGGAGCATATAGACCAGTTAGTCTTCTCCCTTCCATTAGCAAGGTACTAGAGAAGGTCATCTTAGCGCGGCTCAACTACTTTCTTAAGATTAAAAATTACATCAACAAAAATCAGTTTGGTTTCTGTGAGGGAGAGTCTACGGAGGGGGCACTTAAGAACCTTCTGGAGAATATCGAAGCCAGCAGGAACAATGACAGATACACAATAGTAGTGGAATGGATATCAAAGGGACATTCGATTCGTTATGGTGGCCAGACGTAATTAAATGCCTGGATAATGCACAAATCCCTTTTGAAATTATCAAGCTCTTGCGAAGTTATCTGCAAGATAGAGGAGTACAGGTTACTACGAATAAAGGGGTTATCAATTACCAACTGCAAAGAGGATGCCCCCAAGGTTCCTGCTTGGGACCCACGTTATGGAATTTGGTGGCTAACACAGCCTTTACTCTGTTTGATAATAACCCAAATGTGAATATACAAGCCTTCGCAGATGATTTTCTTCTAGTCATTACTAGCAGGAAAGACGTGGTACAAAAGGCGCAAAAGGCAGTGGACGACTTTGCAGCCTGGGCCAAGAGTCACAAACTGATCATCTCTGCAACGAAGACCCAATTGCTCTACATAGGTAGGAAAGGTATTCCTAAAAGAAACCCGTCCATTAAAATGAACGGTATACCGATCAAATGCGTGCCCAATCTGAAGTACTTGGGACTGACTTTTAATAATAAATTATCTTGGGTTCCACACCTGAAGGAGGTGAAACAGAAAATAAACAGCCTTACAAATACATGCTCAAAACAGCCAGAATACAGTGGGGAACGCCAGCCAATATTCTGAGAAGTTGGTATCGTACTATATCCGAGAGGATTATCTTGTATGGTGCAGCAATTTGGGGGAAAAATATCTCCTCACATATGAGTAAACTATTGCTCACAATAC